TGAATTCTTAAAGACTATTCTCTACTATTCTATAAACTTTTTCTTAATCATCTGTACATATTCACACATATAAGTTTCTCCTGTTTTAGCAATTAAAATTGCAATCTACATAAATATACTTAAGACACCAACATTCTGGGCAATATTAAAGACTTGCTTAGTGAGGTGTGCCACTCAGATGGAAGACTCTAAAGGACCAAACTGTTATGAAATATAAAGGAAATATAATTAACACATTTATTTAATTGGAAAACTACAGTAACTATCTTAAAAGATTATAAGGGGAGTGTAATATCCCCAATGTTGCATCTATAGAGATATAAAGATATAGTTGTAGATATAAGCATACAGACATACAGACATATATAAACACAGATGCAGACAGAGATACAGATATTGATATAGACATAAACTTTATCTATAGTACTTTATGGGAGTGGAGAGAGAGAGGAGGCATCCAGTCGCCTAAACCAGAGGTCAGACACAGCTTAACTAAGGATGTGTGGTGGAAATTTTAGCAAATGCATTTGTTGTGAATCTTTCTCAGAAAGGTCAGTACCACATAGCTTACTCCTTGACAAGAATTCCTCTAAATTTGAGCCTGACTCTAAAAAAAATGATCTACTGAAATACCTTCTGTGAAGCTCCATGTTATTTTTGTGCTTTCTTCTGGTGGGTAATTTAATATTCTACAGACTGCATGTCATTTGGGGATATAATCAACACTGTCTAATTTATATGATAAGAGAAGGATTTTATTTCGGAAAAATCTAAGAACTTCAAAATTTGTATTGACGTTGTGAGTAGACCTGTTTCTCTAATAACTATAACTTGAAAAGATCTACTTTGTAAGCCTCTTACTTAAAGGAACATTAATTTAAACTACAAAATAATTGTTGAAAAATGGCAAAAGGGATATTCACATTATTCTAAGATTAGACATATTTCCTTTTATATTGTTGGCATTTGGCAAGGATGACCCTTGCTTTTTCATGCTGTAGGTGTTGTGTTCATTATGGTGAAGTGAAATGAAAGCACATGAGTATTTTCAAGCATCAGGTACCTCATTTTCCTATTTGTATACATCCCCTCACGAAAAGTGTGTTTAGATTATCCCTATTACATTGGACTAATTCAATCATACCTTGGATTTTTAGACATACTATTTATTTACACATACTATTTATTTAGACATATTTTCAACTAGTATTCTTATCAATCTTTTGTTGAATGTGTACACCAAAGGGTAATTTAACTTAAATGTTAAAAAATAAATCTATTCTGAAAATATCATCTAACCCATTCCACCAGGACAGTATGTGACCTGGAACAGTGTGTCTTCACAGTCTGCTATCTACTTTCCTTCTGAATACTCTTCACCATTTCATTTGGGGCAATCTTTCAACTTTTTCATTCCTTCCTTAGTATCTGTTTTATGATTAGTATAAATTTATATTTTCAAAATTTTGGTAGGTTTTGAGGTGATTTGATTATAATTAATTTGGATGATTTTATATATTTTCAGCTTTCTGCACACAGTATTATATTACAGCACCTTTAGTGTAGAAATAGAATCAATCATTATATTCTAGAGAACTTTCATCAAATTGTTCTTGGAAATGTTCACATTGCATTATCATCCATTACCTTGAGAACACAGTATTTAACTTCTAAATTTCTCAGTTGTTTCAGATTGAGGTATGCAGGAGTATATATTGAGTTTGATACTTTGTATTGCTTTGCTGAGCTCCCACTTAATGAAAAGGTGCTTTATGTTTTTATCCAGTTTTCCTGTTAGGTTTACATTTCAACTTGAGACAAAAGTGAAATAATACATGTGCATATAAATAGGCTTTAACACTTAGTTTTTTCATGCTTCCTACTCCATATGTTATAGGTTGAATGAATTAATTTATCATAACAACATATGAGATTGAATGAGAAAACAAAAATGTACAGGCAAGGTGTGTGGAAAAATATACATATATAGTTGTGTTCATAATAAAAATAAAAGATGTAATAACGCATTGTATTAAAATTAGTTTTTTGTTTGCTCCACAATAATTGTTTTTAAAATTTGAAAGAGAGCCGGTAAGAAATAAATTAAAATCATTTTTCATAATGTAAGGCATCAGTGATATTTCTGTGTTTTCCAATATAAGTGATAATTACAAGTATTTATTTTAATAGTGGCCTGTCTAGTTCCAAATTACTACCAGAAATACAAGAACTTGTATACATTCTAGACTAGCAATTCTGGATTATCTAAAGTTAGAATATTGTTGTTTTTCAGCTTGGAGAATGAGTTAGTTATTCTTAAAGAACTAAACTAGACATATTTTTCACATCTAACATAGAGACTTTTTCTAGAGTTTACTAAAAAGTATATTAAAAGATTTTATTAGTACTTGCATTATCTGTTTGCAAAATGCTATGGATGCAAAATGTATAAGATACAGATATAACTGATAGATTATCTTCTTGGTGTAGAAATAAAAATTAGCAATAAACTTATATTCTATTATAAGGAGTAGGAAGTATGGGAATGCACTTACAGCACTTTACTATTTTGTATCTCTAATGACTGTTTACCTCATATGTAGTAAATATATACGCATGGGCATATATGTCTATATCTGTTTGCTTTTTATGTGTGTGCATAGCTAGCTTCTTTTTTTGAATAATCGATTGAGCTGAGAAGCATCATTTGTTATTACGGATTTTTTCTTCCTGTTATTTTCTTTTATTTCTAAAAGTTAAGGATTGGGTCAATCTTATCATTGTTCTGATGCATCTTTTGTAAATGTCATGCTTCAGGGTAAACTGATTTCTTTATGATCTTCAGAAAATTTTCTATTGGCATAACAAATGATTATTTATCTCCCTAAATGTTCAAATGGCCTTAAACTGCTTTAGGGTTATTTGCTTCACAAGGCTTAGTATTGATCCAGATTTTATAACTGACTAAATAAGGAAAAATTGTCTTAAGAAAATAGCTAGAAAGATTGCTTTAACTGGTGATTTTGTTTTAATCATTTTGAAATTATTACAGAAAGCTGATGGTGAAAAGGCATGACTGAGACTGCTTGAAATGGAAGGACTTAATTTCTCTAAGAAATTAAGATGGAAAAATACAACAAAAAAAGGAACAAGATGGAATTTTTTTATTTTGGCTATGGATTTTTAAGGCTTTTCTAAATATGCAGATTTAAGTATATTATAGAAGAAAAACCTGTTATTGATGAATCACTCACAAAATACTCTAATTTTAATTCTTTGAATTGGACTAAAATATATTCACTTTATTAAACACAATGAAATCTCAAACATTTGTATTTATATTTCTTGTCTAGCTGAAATTCTTTTTTAAAAAGATTTTATTTATTTATTTTTAAAGAGAGAGGAAGGGAGGGAGAAGAAAAGGGAGAAAAACACCAATGTGTGGATGCCTCTCATGCGCCCCCCAAATGGGGACCTGGCCTGCAACCCAGGCATGTGCCCTGACCTGGAATCGAACTGGTGACCCTCTGGTTTTCAGGCCAGCACTTAGTCTACTGAGCCACACCAGCCAGGGCTAGCTGAAGTTCTTTCAATTTGAAGTAACCTGCCCTTGTAGAATATTCTGATAGTGCCAGATGCACTATTAGTCTCATTGAGCCTAATGAGACTATATGCAGTTAGGATGTGCAGTTAGTCTCATTGAGAAATGTGCCAAGAACTGCCACAAATAGGTCTCCAGTTTAAGTATAATTGGTCAGTCCTATGACCATACACATATTTCCTGCACATCTACTTGCGCTAAGTAGTATTCTCACTTCACATTGATGAAATGCTTCAATTTGGCAGGAAAGGTGACTTTAGAATCTGTATTCACCACTAAACAAGGAGATAATTAAACACATTCTAAAAGATACAAATTAAGGCACAATATTTATAATTTATATAAGTAATTATTATGAAATATCAGAATCTTAGCTAAAAGACATAATCAAATGCTTATACATACCACTTGATGCTAGGTCAAAGAATATGGTGTTTAGATATCATTATGTCTATCTTTTAGCAGATATATCTTTGGTCCACTGCCTGACAGTGCAAAGAATAGGCAAACAATAATTATTTAATTAAGAAATGAGTGATTTGACTATACTTGCTTAAGAGTTAGTGTTTCTTGTATACATACACATCTGGAAATGGCAAAGTGACTCAATGTTTATCAGAGTAGATAGTATAGTGAGAACTTTGCATGGAAAATCAGTTTGTGAAAGAATCATAGTAGTTATTTATTGAGTGCTTATTCTCCACTAGGCACTGTGCTAAGTCTTCACATGAATCTGTACTTTAGTTCACAACATTCTTATGAGGTCATCTTATTATAAGGTTTCTCTGTTTTTGTTTTTGTTTTTTTCAGATTTTATTCATCCATTTTTAGAGAGGGAAAAGAGGGAGAGAGAGAGAGAAACATCAATGTGCGGTTGCTGGGGGCCGTAGCCTGCAACTCAGGCATGTGCCCTGATTGGGAATCGAACCTGTGACACTTTGGTTCACAGCCCGCGCTCAATCCACTGAGCTACACCAGCCAGGGCTGGTTTCTCTATTTTAAATATGGGAAAATGATGCTCAGAGAACATAAGCAAATTTACAAACGTTATGTAGCTGCTACATGCTGGAGGGGAAGCCAAACTGATAATTTCTATAAAGGACAAGTTGCATTGCTTTCGTATTGCTGTTTAAGAGCTTCTTGTTCATGATGACATGACTTAAAGGAAATCTTTTAGAAAAATAAAACAACACTGTCAAAAATAAGCCACATTTTTTGTTAGTGACTACAAATAAGTAATGAAATGTTTGAGTTTGGTCAGTTACCTTCTCCTAATTTAAGTGTTTTTATCCATGACAACCCCATAACTATATTACTTTGCTATAAACTTGAATTAGATTTAAGATTACTGTGTGTATGTGTGTGTGTGTGTGTGTGTGTGTGTGTGTGTGTGTGTTTAATACTTACGTGGCAGGGGAGTTACCATGATCACAAAGGTGGTTTTCCCAGGGCAATTCTTTTCCATTGCACTCTGGATGGGCTGACCCCTGTGATTTCCCCAAATGTGGGAAACTTGAACGGCACAATTTGTGGTAGTGGGGGACTGGGTTCATGCTCTCACCTGGCAACAACAACAAAAAAGATAACTGTATTTTAGTTGTTTTCCCTCAGGGTTACTAAATTCTGAGATTTCACAGATAGTTTTGTTTTTATTCTGTAGTTTGATATCTCAGAATGGACCTATGAGGACAATATCGTGTGAGATCCAGAAGGGTCTAATTTCATTTTGAAATCATTCCTTTTATGGGAGTTGATTTTAAGTAATTTACTTAATTTTCAAACTTCATTTCTGGATCCTTATTTGTGAGAATCAAAGTGGATGTGCACATCTGTGGGAACACAGACAGGGTTTGACAGCAATGGGATAGAGAAGGTTAGAGGGGAATTGTTACTCGGAGGGGTCCCTGGCACAGGGACATGTCTCTGGCAGGGATGGCATGAGAGGCAGGACAGCCTTTGAGAACCTTTTACACTCTTGTGGGGGCACCACTGAAAGACTAGGGGGTGTTAGTTTGTATATGGGGTTTTGGGAGTGTGGTAATGGTGGTAGAAACATGTTTTAACGTTAGTATTACATTAAAGACAATTATATGGGAGTTTGAACAGCTAGATGATTGATTACAAATAGAAATATAAAAATGGCTAATATGTCTGTAGCACTCTACCATTAATAACAAGGAAACAATGACGTGGTAGCCCAGGAATGTGCAGTGGCTTTGTCCAAATTGCATGCCAGTAAGTGGTAGAGTAGATCTGAACACAGATCATTTCAGTTAAAATCCAGTTCCCTCTTGCTGCAACACAGTACCTCTTTAACATAGTCTAATATTTATACAGTAGAATAAGAATACAAAAAAGATTTTGAATGTTCTAACTTGACATCTTTATTCCTTTTAAATCAGTTTTGTAATGTCACTAGAACAAGGGTGATATCCTGATAAAATAAAGAGTAGTTCAATGTCAGACCTCAGCAGAATTCTTAACATATTCCAAACTGGTAATTTAATAAAGGAGAAAACACTGTGTTTACATAATGCTTTATTTTCTTTTACAGTCTAAGTCTTAAAAATAAAACTTGTAAAAGCTTCTTATTTTATATTTCTTTTCCACTATATGGAAAGAAACAGGTCTACTGTTTCTCTTTAACCTTTCTTTTTAGTTTTAAAAATCCTAAAATTAATCTTTCTTTTTAGTTTAAAAAATCCCCTGATTAAGTTCAGTACTTGAGCACCTGTCATTGCAAACTTTATATTGTGCCTCGTTCCTTTGCTGAATTCTCACGGGTTAGTTGCACGGTACTTTGGATGGTGCCTCACAAACTGTGATAAACTCATTACATCATGTTGTTTTTATCCTCCCTGCCCGCTGTTCATTCTCAATATGAGAAATCCTAGCATATCAATGACAAGAGGGCTGGCTTTCAGACAGCCTTTTGTAATTATTCCCACTGAGGCACTGTCAATAGGATTAAAACACAAAATCTGGACCTATTTGTCCCAGATGAGGCAGCACCTTGAGCAGTGGGAGCACAATTTCAACAAGCTGCGCTTTCCCCTTTGCATTATAGAACCACAGACATTAATATGACACAAATATTTGAAAGCACCTATGGAAACAGACTCGATTTCCCTGAATTAAGGAAAATGTCCATCTGCAATAAATAAAAATAACAGCATGTATTAGAATCCCTAACTATGTATGTATAGATTCTACAATAATGTTAAAGCCCAAGCACTTCCAATTACAGAAGAATCCACTTATACTTCATAATTAATAAACTTTTTGCAGCTGCATAACTGTGGCTGGAAACATCTGCAAAGCCTCATATTTTACACATAGACACATGCACATCATTCCCTCAGAAAAAGTTCAGTTGTGCTTAAAATCACAGGTTTTGGAAAGAGTAAGACCTGAGGAAGCTAAGTCTAGTTGTATTCAGTTATCCCATGGAAGAAGAATGGAGGGGTAGGAAGGAAGGCAACCAGCCTTTGTCTGGCAAAATGCTGTGAACAAAAAGTAAGAGTATTTAAGATCTATTCAGATGTTTACTCAAAATCACATTTTCTATAATGTATCAAAAATCTCCCCTAAATACAGGCTTGGTGTTGATAAGTATCTATTTCTTTTAAGTTGTAAAATTACATGGATAAAATTGCTATTTGTCAGATAAAATATTCATTGTTATTTATGTGACTCTAAAATTAAAAAATGGTAAGAAGAATATATTGATTATAGATGTTCAAAATTTTAAAGTAATTTATAGTTAATTTATTTTACCTAAATACAGCTTTATGAACACAGATGAATATAGAATATGTGTTAGAAAAGCAAAGTAATATATAATCAAAAGATAAAACTTGCTACTATTTGTTTGTTTACTTAAATGTTAAGTTTGAAGTTTCATTATTAATGGATTTTATTATATGTAACAGCTCTACTGAGATATAATTCACATGTCATACATTTCACCCATTAAAATAATTTAGTAGTTTTTGGCATAGTTATAGAATTGTACAACCTTCACCACAAATTAATTTTAGAACATTTCCATCACCCCACAAAAGGAACTATGTACCCATTAATAGTCACTTACCATGTCTCCCCACTGTTCCAACCCCTAGAAACCACTGATTAACTTTCTGTCTCTATAGATTTGCTTATTCTGAATTTCTCATAAAGGTAATTACATAATACATAATCTTTTGTGCCTGTATTTCTTCACCTACACAATCTTTTGTGCCTGGATTTCTTTACCTAGCATAGTGTTTTTCAGTTTATCCATGTTATATCATGTCAATATTTAACTCCTTTCAATTGCTGAATAATGCTCCATTGTGTTTATTCATTTATTAGTTGATGGGCATTTGGATTGGTTCCACTTTTTGGTTATTATGAATGAATCTGCTCTGAACATTTATGTATAAGATTTTGTGTTGATACATGTTTTCACTTTTCTTGATCATATACTTAGGAACAGAATTGTTGGGTTATAAGGTAACTTGTTTTACCTTTAGAGCACAGGTGGCACACAAAAGACCCGAGGGCTGAATCTGGCCCTCCACCCTGTTTTATCTGGCCCGCACCTTGTTTCTACACGGGCACAGCACAGAGCTTGAGCTCTCACTTAATTGTTAAGGAGTAATTGCATCATACAGTCCAAGAATTACATTTGGCCCTTTGAAGGCAACTGCCAGGCTGATGTGGCCCCTGGTGAAAATGAGTTTGACACCCCTGCTTTAGAAGAACTGCTAGTTTTTTTCAGAGGCTGCAACATTTTACATTTTACAATTACAGTGTATAAGAGTTCTGATTTCTCCATATTCTTACCAACACTTGTTTTATCTGTCTTTTTGATTGTAGCCATTCTATATAGTATAAGTGTTATTTCATTGTTGTATTGACCTGCATTTCCCTGGTGGCTAATGATGCTGACCATGTTTTTGAGTGTTTATTGGCCATTTGTGGTATCTGCCCTTGAGGAATATCTATTCAGATTATTTGCCTGTTTTTTTGTTGGCTTATTAATGATTTTTTAATTTTTATTTTGCTTAAAATGTATGTCTAGATTTCTTAATAATTTCTTATTTTACTTCCCCACTCAATTTTATAATGGAGATATTTTGTTATTATGCATTCTTTAGAGGTTTTGATAGTATGAGAAAAGACCTAGAACCTACAGAATGATGATTCTAAACACCTGGAAACCTTTTAAAATATAAACATGTCCAGGCTCCAGAAATGATTCAATTACTGTGATAGGGCCAAGTCATTAGTGCCTTTTGAAAGCATCCCTAATATGCAGCCATGGAGCATAACTGACCGAGATGATGGATTATCAGTGCCTTGATGTCCAGGATGGTATCAAAAAGCCTGAGGTTAAAATCAGAGTTTAAGATTTCCTAGAAAATAGCCCATTAAGGATCAGGGAGTTGTTTTTGGCTGCAGAAGTCTATGGATTTTTGAGTCCTTAGAAATAAAACTAGATGAACTATCCCCTACACTTACCTTTATAGGTAATAAATCTAAAGTACCAAGGCTAGTCTGAGCATCTGCACCTCCTTCAAAAAGAAGAGATACTGTTCCATTTCACCTAATTGCTTAGACTGAAGGGTAGAAATTTGCCTGTGGCTTTTAGCATGGCCTTTAGGATTGTTCATTTGAGAACACAGTTCTTAAACCAGTGCCTGATCATTCCACAGACCGCCTCGTGCAAGCATACACTCAAAGCCCTGACACCCTGTTGCCTGACCACTTGACATCCATTGAAGACAGCTGTTGGACATGCAGTTGTTAGGAGACTCTGACAGAGTATGAGGATGCAGTATAAATTCTCCTGTATAGTTAAATTTCTCTGTGTTTAAAATTTTGTAGCAGCGTTATAATTCTTAAGTAATTGATGCATAAATGGGAAAGCCTATTGCCTTTTGTTTTCTTTTTAAAGGAATTTAAATCCCACATATTATTTGAACCAATTGAGTTACATAGGGCATTTAAATACTCTTATTTTAAGTAGTGGAAATTAAATATATTCGATTACATTTATTTTATTGCAATAGATACTATAACAGATTTTATAGTATAATATATTATAATTTTGTTGATATATTGAAGTAAATAATAATGTTAATGTCTAGTAAACAGAAGTTTCATGTGCTTCCTTGATGCCCTTTTTTGATTTTTTTTCCATTTAAAGAGCAGACTAAATGAAAACTTGCTTAATATATGAAATCTGACAAGATTATGGTTCTTGGCTCTAGGATAATGAATTTATGTTATTTTATTCATTAAGGCCTTAGAGGCTGAAAAAAAATAAAAAGAATCAATCCCTGGCCTTTGTGGTAACACTGAAAAAATAATGTTATTAAAATAATAGGTGAAAGACTTTTTTACAAAAGTAATAAAATGTTGAAAACAAATTTTATACATTTTTCCAATTTTTATCAATCTAATGAAACATTACCTTAAGGGGTGGTGAATATGATACAATATACAGATGATATATTATAGAATTGTACACCTGAAATCTATATAATTTTATTAACTAATGTCACTCCAGTAAATTCT